TGGTTTTAGTGGGTATCTCCTTTACCGTGTTGCCAAAAAGACATTACATATATATGTGTGTGTGAGTGTATGTGTATACATATATTTAAATAGCTTTGCATCTTAATAATTGAAACTGATCCTTAATCTTTCTCACTCAAATTGACCCTGTATGAAAATATTTATCTTATAAATGAATGGGTAGTAGTGTCTCTTCCTTCCATTCTTTAAAATTGTGTGTCTATGAGCAGAATTACCAGTTCTTTGAAGGCTCTGTAAAACCATCTTAGTCTTACGTCCTTGGCAGAGTTAGCGAAGGGTGAATTGTTGTGGTTAGGTGACACTGAGTCAGTATTGACTCATAGTGACTCAGCACACACAACAAAACGTTGGCCAGTCCTGCACCAACCTCACAATTGTTGCTAGATTTGAGCCCATCGCTGCTGCCACTGTGCCAGTCCATCTCGTTGGGGGTCTTCCCCTTTTTCTCTTACCTACCATTTTACTAAACATGGTATCCTTCTCCAGGGACTGGTCCCTCCTGACAATCTGTCCGAATTCATTCATTCCGGTTTTCTATTCTTGAGTTAAATTTGATAATGCTATTTTACAAAACGGTTCTGCTAAAACCTGAAATTCATTGGCATATATCTAATAATACCTCAAAACTTATAAAACTTCTATGATATCTGAAGTTACAGATCCTATTTTTCATTCATAACACTGATTTTTTTCTCTTTTGGGGGGATTCATTTTATTACTTTGGACATATTGTCATGGTAGCGTAGTGGTTACGAATCAGGCTGAGAACCACAAGGTCAGCAGTTCAAAACTACCAGCTGCTCCGTGGGAGAAAGATGAGGTGTTCTGCTCCCGTAACGATTAGCAGGGTCGCTGAGTCGGAATCGACTCCACGGCACATAACAACATTTTTTCTTTTAAAAATTATTTTCTTACTTGTAGGTTTTCTTGCAAGTTCTGTTTCTAGCTTCTTACTTGAAGTTAACTCATTTACTGTCAGTCTTTGTTGCTTTTGAAGAAAGATAACAAATGGACCACTTAAGGAGTAGTCTACAAGTTGTTGTTGTTGTTGTTGAGTTGTTTCCAGCCCATAGCGAGCCTGTATAGGATTTCTAAGGAGTGACTGGTGAGCTTGAACCCCACTGACTTTGTGGTTCAAAAGACTTTACAGTCCAGCGCATTAGCCCACAGCACCAGAGCAGGAGTCCCTCATTTATCATGGGGTTCCGTTCTAACACAAGTCAAATACCTTTTGTTCTGTTTTGTTTTCATAGCGAACTCGGTAACAGTGCAGTGAATCATGACACTGAACATCATGGAATGAACATCTGAGTGAAAACATCAGTAAATTATGTGCCACAACATTGTATGTAGTACAAACTACCCTAAGATATGAGAGAACAAAAGGAAGAAGATAAATTCACATGGCTGTAAGTATATGCTCTATAGGCTCTATAGGCTGTAAGTATATGCTCTATAGGCTCTATAGGCTGTAAGTATATGCTCTATAGGCTACATAGGATAAAGGTTGTCAATCAGGGCTTCAAACTTGTATTTCAAAAAAACTTGACATGCCTACTTTTATTCCCTCTGAATTGAAGATAATGTGTCTATATATTCATTCTTTCAGAGTGTTTGAAATCTAGTATGTGGGCAATGAAATCTAGTATGTGGGCAATGAATGTACATTTTCTTTTTCCTGTGTATAGGATTCTACTGATTAGATAAAATTTAAATTTGGTTTCAAAGTTTCTGCATTATTATTAATGTTTCTGTCTGATCTCTCACTTTTTGGTAGAGTTGGGATTGTGGACTTGTCTATTTTTTTCCCCCCAATTTTTGTCTGCAATGCAGAGTTCATCTATAATCATGGATCATGGCTGAGTCCTGTGTACTTATTTTCTGTATCTGTACTGGTGGCACAGTGGTTAAGTGCTCAGCTGCTAACTGAAAGGTCAGCAGTTTGAACCCACCAGTTGCTCCTTGGGAGAGCGATGTGGCACTCTGCTTCCATAAAGATTGGTTGGCTGTGGTGCCATGGAGTTGGTTCCACTCATAGAGACCCTGTGTAGAGTTTTGGAGGCTGTAAAATCTTTATGGGAACAGAAAGCTTCATCTTTCTCCCATGGGACAGTTGGTAGTTTCAAACTGCTGACCTCGAAGCTAGCAGCCCAACTCGTAACCACTATGCTACCAGAGCTCCTTAAAGAGCTTCATGAAGATTACAGTCTTGAAAACCTTGGGAAACCCTGTCTTATGGGGCTGCTAAGAATTGGAATTGACTCCTATTTTTAACACTAGCCTTAAACTTTATTTCCCCAGTATTACTACTTTTAACGAATGTTTTTTTTGTTTTTTTTGAAGGGAATGTTGTGGAGGGGGCTTGACAGATTTTTAACCTTTCTAGACAGCCTGGCAGCATAGTGGGTTACACATTGGGCTGCTAATTGCAAGGTCAGCAGTTCGCATCCACCACCAACTCCATGAGAGAAAGACACACAGTCCGGGAATCCCTATACAGGGTTGTTAGGAGTTGGAAGTAACAGCAAACCACATCATGTAGGTGTGTTGCTTGGAATCAATATATAGTTTCCCCTCTATCTAGTTGGTTTAATCTATTTACATTTGTGGTAAGTAAATTCTTTGGAGTCATGGTGTGGCGCTGTAAGATAAGCACTGGATTACTAACCACAAGGGCCACAGTTCAAACCCTCCAGCTACTCCTCAGAAACTCTGTATCATGTAGCTGTGAGTTGGAACAGAGAGCATCATTAAAGTGTTTTCTTGTAAGAAATGTATAACTGTGCTTTCCCTATTCATATCTGTAGTCAGTAAATTCTTTAGATTTATTTCTACTATTTTGTGTTTTCTAACTATAACATATTTTCTTTATTTCTCTTCTCCCAGCCTTCACCTTCTTGCCTTCTATTGGATTACCTACCCCCTCCTCCACCTCATCCAGTATCTTTTTCCTACTTTGTAGCAAATAAGATGTAGCTGAAGGGCTGTGTGAGACCACTAGGAAGTCTCCTCAAAAGGGAGAAAGCTCCAGGGCCACTGTGGGTTAGGAGGATGGATGCACTAAGCTCCCTGATAATCTTGGAGCTGCTGTGCTAGCCCTCAGATGCCTTCTTGTTGTTAAGTGTTGTCGAGTTGGTGCCATCTCACAGAACCCCTGTATAGGGTTTCCAAGGAGCAACTGGTGGGTTTGAACAGCCGGTCAGAAGTCCAGTGGGGATCCTACAGCGCCACACCAGGATTCCATTGTTGTTGTTGGACAGGAAAATTTAACTGCTCTCTTGTTTCAGCCACTATTTTGGTAGTCTCTTTTATAAGCAGCTGAATGTAATTCTGGGTGCAAATGGCTCCAGATTTTCACTTATTAAAAAAGCATAATTACAAAATCATATTTACTTATCAATTCTTGGAAACAAAAATTACTTTTCCTATTAAATAAGTCTAGTACATTTTAAAAGTAAAATGTGTTGTATGAAATTCTGTGTTTAAGTGTGCGTCTTCTGTCTCTTGCTTTTCTTCTTGCTAGATGAAGCAAGTTGAGGCTGACCTGCAGAGAGATGCTGAAATAACAAAGTGCTAAGGGTGCCCTCTTCTTTGGTTCCTGTTACCCTTCTTGGGCGTGCACATGTAAGCTAACAAATTCCGCCTAGTCTGTGTCATTTGGGGCCAAAGAACCCCAACTAAAAGAACAGACATATTTTTGTTGCTAGTTGCCTAATTTATTCACAGTGAAAAACTTGAAATAGAGATTTAAATTCTTAGAGAGGAAGTTGCTTAAAAAAAAAAAAAAAGTGACAAATACTAAAATACTAAAGAAAAAACACCGGAAAAACATCAGAAGAGAAAGATAAAAATGAAGGGACTAAAAATAATGAGTCCAAGAATGCTGCCTCATTTATCAAACTTGTCAACAGCAGCAGTTAAGAGTAGAAATCTGTTCTTCAGTTTTTAGAAGGAAAAAAAAACCAAACCCCAAAACTGACTTACGTTATAATGCATCTTTATATTCCAACTATTTATAACAGCCTATGGACACTACTTACAGGAGCTCTGGTAGCGAAGTGGTTACGAATCGGACTGCGAACCGCAAGGTCAGCAGTTCAAAACTACCAGTTGCTCTGTGGAAGAAAGATGAGGCTTTCTGTTCCTGTAAAGATTTACAGCCTTGGAAACCCTGTTCAGGGTCGCTATGGGTTGGAACCGACTCAAAAGCACTTAACAACAACAATGGATACTACTTATTAAATATTAAAAACTTCTTGACATGCTGTTTTTATTCAGCTCTATTCAAATACAATACATGGATGTTACACCACAATTCAACTAAATGATGTTCTTTTGGACAGGTCCTAGGACTCCTGGTGTGGCACTGTGAGATCAGCGCTGGTCTACAAACCACAAGGTCGGTGGTCCAAACCCACCAGGTGCTCCTTGGAAACCCCATACAGGGTCACTATGAGATGGAACTGATTCAACAGCACTTAACCTGTCCAGCACAGGACTGTCGTATTCTACAGATGAGTAGACAGGAAGAGCTAACGGGTAAGTGCTTAGTTCCTAACTGAAAGGTTGATGGTTCAAGCCATTCAGAATCCCTTTGGAAGAAAGGGCCTCATTACCAACTTTCAAGAGATCACAGGCATTGAAAAGCCTACAGAGTGCAGTTCTAGTTATAAGAGTTGCCGTGAGAGGGAAGCGACTCGATGGCAGCTGGTGTAAGACTCGCCCTTTGAACATGACAGTAGACTAAAAAGCCATCATCTGCAATATTAATCATTGTTTCACCAGCCAAGTAAAGTATGAAAATACCTTGTGGGGAGGGCATGGTTGGCCAAAAACATAACCCAGATTATTTGCATGCATATAATATTGTATATTCTTCAGTGTGATTAAGTAGTAATCATTACTTAAAAAGCAAATCAGACACACATTCTCTACAATGTATATGAAGAAGGAACCTATGAAGTAACACAGATATTTACCTTTGATGCAAGGTTGTCTACTAAGGCAATCATGGAATTCTTAAACAAGGTGGCGGCAGTCAGAGGTCGCTTGGTCACCTCTGTAATGCTTAGCTTGCCTTCTGGCCACATATTCTTCAGCACAGGATTTGAACTGAAAACCATAGAAAGAGAAATTCAAATGTACATTCAAAAAAGCTCAACAAGAACTGGTAAGCAATCTTGCTGAACTGCATCGTAGGAATCACAGCTGGACTACAGGCTGAGCATTTAGGGTCCTCTCTTGTAATGTAGTGGTTACGAGTTGGGCTGCTAACCTCCAGGTCAGCCGTTCAATACATACTACCAGTGTTTCTGTGGGAGAAAGATGAGACTTTCTGTTCCTGTAAAGAGTCCTGGGGTGGCGCTGTGCGTTAATGTGCCAGATAGCAAAGCTGTTTGAACTGCAATGTTGGAGGTTCAAGCTTACCAGCTGCTCCTTGGAAACCCTGTGGGTTGCTATGAGTTGGAATCGACTAGACGGCACTCAACAGTCAGCCCCGGGCATGTATGTGCATGTATTTTAGTGATCTTTTAGAATATATGGGGGCTTTTCTAAGCCCCCTTTCCCCTCAAATCACCCAATCCTCAGTTTTTCTTCCTTAGTCTATTGTTTGCTTTCTGCGTTATCCCTTCCCCAGGCAGCAGTGATCTAGCTAGAAATGCTTCCAGCAAACCAAACATGTGACTTCTCCCTACAACCAAACCAGTAGCTGCCCCAGCCTTGGGGAGCTCTGAGTTAGGTAAAACAGGGCAAGCCTTTGTGCTAAGGCTTTTGGAGCTGCCATCAGAACCACCACCATTCCTTTGCTCTCCTGCACCAGGCTGTCACTGAGCAGGTGGGCCAGCTTATGCTAAAATGCCACCATCTCTTCCTGAGAATCAGCTGGGTTTTGTTGATTACATATTCCCCCGGTGGTTGTAAGGTTTTTAGAGTTCCTTACTCTTCCAGTTTCCTTGACATTAATATGAAAACACTAAACCAAACTCACTGCCTTCAGGATGATCCCAATTCACAGGGACCCTGCAGGACATGGTACAACTGCTCCCTCTGTGGTTTCTAAGACTAAATCTTTAGGGGAGCACACAGCCTCATCTTTCTCCTTTGAAGTGGCTGGTGGGTTTGAACTGCTGATCTTGCGATTGAGCTGCTAATGCTATATAACCCACTACGCCATCAGGGCTCCTGTAATATTATCAAGGCCATCACCCTTTCCATTTTTTTTCATGCTTTAATATTTGACTGTGTTTTAAATGAAACTTCCCACGGTTTCTGTGTCGTAGCCTCTCATTTCACAACGTGCAACTTTTTCATTTCCATTCTGTTTTCACAAATCTAGCTTCCCTTCTCAACTTTCTTTATGGTTAAATAATGACTGGCCTTGGTGGTTGTTAAGTGCCATTAAGTTGGTTCCGACTCATAGTGACCCTGTATTAACTATAAGACTACTGTGGTTTCTGAGGAGCGGCTGGTGAGTTTGAACCGCCAACCTTGTGGTCAGGCCGAGAGCTTACCCTATGGCACCACACCAATCTTAAACAGTTAATTATTTACGAGAGCCCAGTATTCACAGGAGATAGTAATCTGCAGAAATCGCTTAAATTCCAAGTTCAAGGGTGATAGTCTTGGGGGCTTCTCTAGTCTCTAATAGTTCAGTAGGTCAGGTGTGGCCTTGTTTAGGGATTTGAGAGTTTTGTTGTATGCTTTTCCCCCATTCTATCTAGGGACTTTCTGTTGTGCCTCTGGGCAGAAGGGTCAGTAGTGGTAGCTGGACACCAGCTAGTTCTAATTTCAGGCTAGAAGATGCTGTGAGTCATGTGCGCTATTAGTTCCATGCACTAGTTTCTCCTTTGAGTCTTTTATTTCCTTATTGTTTTTGGCCATCTGGATAGAGATAAACAGTTGTCTTAAAACCTTGCCTGTGGCCCTCTAAAATACATACTATTATCGTTAAGTTGTCCTCTGAGACTATGATCTTAGGCTCTTTAACGCAGAAGACCAATCCTCTGAGTTGTTGGGATATGTCTAGGCGGCCTCTGTAACTAGGCCCTGCTGAGTGGTTCGTTATATATGTGGAACATACACAAACATCTATGCCTACCTACGTAACCACACAAATATTTCTGGTTCTTTTACTCTTGTTGCAAAACTGTATGTGTGGCGTTGTAGGATAAACACTGGACGGCTAATCAAAAGGTTGGCAGTTTCAACCCATCAGTCGCTCCTTGGAAACCCTGCATTGGAACCAACTCAATGGCATTTAACAGCAGCATAGTACTTACTGAAAGTGTATTCTGGCCTCAATGACTTCTTGATGACCAACTGGCTGAATAGACTGAATAATATACTAGAAGAATATGATGAATACTGTTGTTTCTTCATGAGCCTTTCCCCCCACCCCCACCCCCCCCAAAGTATATACATAGTGGGTTTGGACTTGCTATCAGTCACTGGGTGGTGCAAATAGTTTGCACTGGACTACTAACTCAGTTTGAACTGCAAGGTTGGCAGTGCAAGCTCACCAGCTGCTCCTCAGAAACTGAGTCAGAGCTGATTTGACGGCACTTAACATGGTATGGCACTGGACTAACACCACCTGGTCTGCAGTTCAAATTCCAACGTTAGATAGAACGGACTCCACGGCACATAACAACTAACCTAAAGATTGGCAGTTTGAACCCATCCAGTAGCACCACAGAAGAAAGGCCTGGTGAGCTTCCATTAAGATTACAGCCAAGAAAATCCTACCGAGCAGTTCTACTCCGTAACACACAGGGCTGCGTGAGTTGGACTTGACGGCATCGGCTGTCATTTGCAAACCATTCGTCATGGTTTGATTTCATTTTTTTCATTTTCTTGATTCTAAGAGGAGTTCAGTCACACAGTCAGAACTATAATATAATCACTGACACGACATTGGTATTAGAGTGGTTTCTATAAAGCTTTTAGCTGGGCTAGAGGCTACCTGACACTTCTGTAATGACTGGCAGCAGTGAATAGAGAAATTGAAGCAACCCTAGGTAAAATCATATTAGTATCAGTACATTTATAGTCTATATTACATAATATCATAGAATCTCATGTAGAGATAATAACATTTCAACCTTACCTGTTATACATGAGACGCTTAAAATCTTGAAATAAAGTATCTTTATTTTTGTCAATAAAGCCAATGACAGAATATCTAAAAGAAAAAAGCAAACATAGAAAATACATTATTCACCAAGCAAGCATCACATACTGTGATTGGGGGACAGATCTGTATGAGTCTAATACTAATGGCTCCTGGGGCAGATCAAGTGATCACTTTGAGCCATATTAAGAATGTAGTATAAGAATATCGTGCCTTAATTTAAATCAGGAATAGCAATTAGTAGAGATGATCACTTGCTTTCTTTGGCTTAATCTCTTCACGTAGTGGGTGACATGAATAGAATTACTAATGTAAAACAGGGGAAAAGCAACAAGAGGACCTTACACCTCCTCTTCTTCTTATTTATTCAGAGGATGCTTATATACAAATACACATATTTTCTGATCAACTTCTAGTTTTATCATTTTATAATCAGAAAAAAATATGGCCCATTAAGAATTGGAATTTTTCAAATGGTAGCATTTGAAAAATACTACGGTATATAGTACTTCACATCCAAGAGTGTTTCTCTCCTCCTCTGGGTCTTTATGCCACCTGTCTCTTCAGCTTGGAATGCCCTCTCTTCTCCCTGTCACCTAGGTTACACTTCTTACACTGGGTTAATTATGTCTCTTCAGAGAGCCCAGAATGCTTTGTACATCTCTAGTTTTTAACCCTTTCCATCCATTAATATTCTAGCTACCTGTTGTTAAGCGCTGTCAAGTTGGTTCAGATGCATAGCGACCCTGTATAGGGTTTCTGAGGAATGGTGCCTGGTGAGCTTGAACTGCCAGCCTTGTGGTTCAAACCAATTTTGAGGTCATACCTTAAGGGCAAGGTCAATCTTAGAGAGAAAATAAGTTCTTAATAGACACGTCCATGATTTATTTGGAGTCCTGTTGTGGCACGATAGGAGAAGCCTCACCACAAGGCTAGAGTTCAAACCCACCAGCTGCTCCTCAGAAGCCCTTTACAGCGTCACTGTGTTGAACTGATTCCACTTAACAACATCATTTGTTTAGTCATCATTGAGTAGCAACTCTGCCAGGAGCTGTGCTTGAGCACAGAGTGTATGCTCAGTCTATATTATCAATAAATATATTCAAAACACAGAAAGGAATAAAGTGGTACCATTTTTTTTTTCAATGAAGAGATTAAGATAGATTAACATATAAAATGGGAAAACAATTTATATGTATTTTCTGAAGTGTGGTTGCATGCAAATCATGTTATGTACCGAAATGAAATAAGATACTTACACTACGTCACCTGCATAATGTCGGATTCGAAAATCTCGATCAAACTCCAGCATTTTGTCAGAAGCACAGAGCTAACAATAAACCAAGGAAATTATTTTAAACACAGATTTTTAGTTTTCCCAAAAAATGTATTCCAATTTAAAATACGATCCTAATGTCACAAACCATGGTGTTATTATGATTGTAATCAGATGGTGCACTTTTCATATTTGATCATATTTTTGGCCTCTGTGGTAAAGACTTCATGAGTTGGGAAGGATTCTTAATGTCTGTGCTCTCCTATGTACAGAGTAGCCTGGCTCACCTGTCTTCTAGTCGGGAGCTCCAGCCAGGTGTGTCATCCAACAGAAGATCAACCTTCTGCACCTCTTTTACTGAAGGGAAATACATTATAGAATGGCTGTTTTTGTATGGCCCTAGTGACCTGAACCACAAGGTTGGCAGTTTAAACTCACCAGCCTTTTCCTGGAAATCCTCCTATACAGGGCCACTAGGAGTTGAAATTGACTTCAGCAATTAACAACAAAGTAGCCTCCATAACTTCCTTCAATTTTCTTAGTTAAAATCAATGAGGCCATGTTACACTCTTAGATATCTAAGAATCCAGGAAACAATAAATGCACTTACATACAAAAATCACTTAGGTTCTAATGCTAGATAGTAAACTACCCCAGGGTGGTGGGTTCTACGTAGATAATTAAACTATAAAGGGATAGTCTAAGTCAACAAGTGACTAATTACAATAAATTAGAATCAGATGTCTGAGGTTCAACTCTCTGCTCTACCATCTACTTACTCTATCTGAAATCAGTAATTATTAAATGAGGCAATTATTTTAAGGATTAAATGATCTGTGTAGGTTAAGGTGTCTAACACCCTGAATGGTTTCTAATAAATGTTTTCTTCTTTCCTTCTCTTTCTTTTACAAAACCTTTTCATTTATAAAATCTCCAAAGGAAAAGGACACAAGAGATATCTCACACTAATCGAAATGAGTTAATTTTATTACTATAATACTAATTGGATACTGTAGTCTAATTGATCTGAATAGAGAAGGTTTTAGATGATTTATAAGTTATGGAGTTGTAATTTAATCTTTGTTAGTAATATTTTAAATAATTTTATAGTTTACTAAACCATTTGCATGCCTCCAATGATAACTAATGTATAAGAAACAATTTAGCCCCTAATATAATTATTGCTGCAAGCCAAAAGCCTCAATAACAGAATTATTCAACAGAAAGCTTTACAGTGATTCAAACTTCTTAATGGCTTGATTATTTCAGCTCTTTCCTTAATTAGACAGAGATCCCAGGGGAAAAACCAAAACACTTCTTATCTCCACCGAGAAACTGCTACCTTGTCGTTCTAATATTTGTTTGACAAATTTAATTCAGGTATATAAAAGACCAAGGTGAAAAATGAGGTGGATTTTATACCTCAAGTGGGACTTACTGTTACTTATATGAGTTGGAGCCTTGTATACTTTAGCTTAGAATTCAGTAAGACTTATTTGGTATGATTTTGACCAATCCAATTTGATTTTATGAACACTGAGTGCCAATGCCTGGCAGACAAACGCTATGCAAATCTCCAAAACTTGAATTGTGTGTGAAAAATAAAGGCATTTACAAACTGTCCAATCAAAGACAGGGTTCTTACCCAGGTAATAATTATATCATCTTTAAGACCATGACTCATCACTATTTAGGTTCCTTCTAGCTTCATTCAACGCTTTGTCCCCAACATGTAGGGCTGTACCTGGCATATTTGTGGCATAAAGGGTAACAACTAGAGAAATATTTCTAACTGGAGCCCTAAGGTAACAGATCAGTGAGAGTAATTTAGAAATCAACTGGCTTAAAATAAATAACAGCCAGTAATCTATTTCCTGACGTGTTCTTTGTGCTTTAACGAATGAGTTGTGATAGCTTCCTATTCTGATTATATAATTGCACATGGGGCAAAATTAGGAGATCAGTAATGCCTAAGACTAGCAGTGTGTCGCTGATGCATATGGAATCACGGAGGAACAGCCATGTCTCCCTGTTCACTTAACGGAGGCTGCCAGAGATGTGCTCCTTCCTTCTCTAATGCAGATTCCATAGACAATACTAACAACAGACATGCCACGTGCAGCACAGCACAGCACAGCACAAAGGTCTGAGCTGAAACCACGACTCCCATCATTCATTACGAAAGGACGATTTCTTTATGGCATTCATTTAAGGAATGAGAATGTGTGCTTTCAACAAGGTCTAAAGAAGTAAGTATGGCAGAGCCCACACCACATTTGGTGACAACTGAGGATGAACAGTAAAAAGTCAAGGACAAAAGCTGTTTTCAGTGCCAGAGTTATCAGATGCAGGAGCAAAATTCTAGCACATGAACAAGGACTCTGTACCTATTGGTGACAAATGACATCATGTTTGCTAGAGAATCAGGTTCCTTTTTCCTATTTCTAACCAATTGATTAGTCTGCAGCTCCCTCTCCTGGTGATTATGATTTTATCAATCTTGCCAGCCTCTAAGCCAGAGAATCTATCCACAGCAATTAATCATTTAATGGGGGCCTATGGCCTTTCTTTCTTAGTAGAGGGGGAATTCTTTTAACCCAACGTATAAAGTTATTTAACTCTGTTCAACAACAGGAGGAAGTTTGAGGAAGTTCTCCTCATTAAACACATTACCTTTCGACTAGAAAAATGGCCATGCTTGCCCAGCTTACTGTTCAGTGCTTCAAGGAACATTGCGTCCGTGACTTTGCCGACGTTCATGCAGGCATCGTCTAGGATTGCGATGATGCCTTTGTGCTGCTGCTCCACAAGGTCCACGATGATCTGATTGTTGAAGTAATCAATCTGTAGGACACAGCGAGGAGGTGATACCACACAGGTAAAAAAAAATACCAGTTTCTCTGTAGCAGGAGATTAAGTAAAGCTACCAGTTGCCAAATAGGTTTGTACCGTTAAAGAGGCCTAATGACTCACTGATATGGCACTGTAGGATAAACACTGGACTGCTAACTACAAGGTCGGCAATTCAAACCCACCCACCGCTCCTTGGAAAACCCATACAGCGTCTCTGAGTCGGAACCGACTTGATAGTACTAAAACAACAACACTAAAATGAGCACACATTCTGTCTGACAGAGGTTAATTTTAGATTTCCTTGTTGACTTTACGATCATGGAACACTTGTTTTTAAAAGAGTGCAGTCCAAAGCAAAGACAATAAACTGGATAATATTTTCCCATCACCAACACTGTCTCCAGATCCTGTACCCCAAAATCTGTTTTTGTTAACCACAAGACCAAGCTTCCAAGTGCCAATAAATAACCTTAAAGTACAAATCAAGAAGCGCTGAAGGCATTGCATTGTGGTAGCACTGGACTGCTAACCATGTGGTGGGCAGTTCAAACCCACCAGCCACTCCATGGGAGAAAGTTGAGGCGTTATGCTCACATAAAGATTTACAACCTCATGTGGTGCTATAGGGTAAGTAGATCAAACCCACCAGCTGCTCCTTGCAAACACTATACAAGGTCTCTGTGAGTCGGAACTGACTCAACAGCACTTAATAGCAACAACAAAATCCTATATAGGGTCTGTAAGTCGGAACCACTTTGACAGCACCTAACAACAACAAAGGTGTTATCTGATGTATTACTTGATAACGAGGAGAAAATGTTATACCAGACTACCACATCTATTATTTGATTTGGAATGAGTAAACCCTAAAAGAGCCTCTCTTTCTCAGCCTCTCTTTCTCAGCTTCCTCAAAGTTAAAAAGGCCTAAGGGGTATAATAACAGCATCTAGACATTTTCTGGGAGGACACTTGACAATGTTTAGAGACATTTTTGATTGTCATGTCTAGGTAAATGTTACTGGTATCTAATGGGTACCAACCAGGGGTGCTATTAAATACCTACAATACATAGGCTAGTCCCTCAAAGAAAGAATTCCCTGGTCCAAAATAAGGCTGAGAGACCCTAGTCTAAATACTTACTTTTACTATGAACATTTACTATATTTTTAGAGAGAAAAATTATTTCTATCTTTAGAAAAAATATCCTCAAAATGCTCAAAAGGTAGGGACTCTGATTAATTAGTAGCTGACATCTTACACTTTGGGACTAAAGACTAAGAAATTCAGACTAAGTCTTTTGTTCTAGGGACAAAGGAATTAAATTTCCTTTCAACTTCCAATTGTATAAATAAATAGGTATTGATTTTTACTGGAGATTCCAGTAACTTTTGGTTTGTAAGCAAAATGCTTCAAACATGGCTTAAAAGCAATGGTTTTTACACATGATCTCGTAAAACCTTGCATTCTTAGGGATGAGGAGGGCCCGGGGCGTAGGGCTCTGGGCCTCCCATTCTAACAGCAGCTTTGTGCTTGAGAATCAAGTTCCCAACAACTTAAATCAGTCTGTGTACAGCCCAATTTAAAAAGGAATGAGTCACTGAGACAACCAGACCATGACCCTCCTGAATGAAGTTCACACACAATCTATGAAAGAAGCAGAACCCAAATCCAGTCAAGACACTACCGCTACCAACCAATTTATAAGAAAAACAAGAAGCAGAGAAATGTTATCAAATGTCACCTCAGGAATGCAACTAGCAGAATCCAGACTGTGAGAAATGCCAAGGAACCAGGGACTATTTCTCTTCAATACATGTGTGTTTGCAGAGAGCGAGAGAGATGGGGATAGTCTAATAATACACAAGCGATCAACCAACCAACCACAACGGAAGAACTTTGGAAAACACACAACAGCCCTGAACCCCACTACAGGAGAACTGAAGAAGTGGGAACACACTGACCAGACATTTGATGGCATTGAGGAATTGTGAATTTTTGAAACTATGATAATGGTTTTGTGGTTATAGTTTTTTTTTAAAATCTGTTAGAGACACAAACTGTAGATAAAATAACAAAATATCTGAGGTTTATTTCAAATTAACTTAGCAGCAGGTATGTTTACATGTTTACATACAGATGACAAAAGGCCAGCCGCTTACAGATAACTGTCAAAACTGGGGGATGGAAAGAGTCTGTGCTCTCTGTTCTTAGGGAGATTTGAAATTTTCCATAATAAAAAACTGAAACCAAGAGAAAAAAAAACCAGAATGAATCATTGTTTAGCAGCTAAGGGTTTTCAAAGAAAATGCTGGCCCAGAATAGAGACTCTAATTTTGGGGAGACTAGGCAGGCAGTTAATAAATTTTGTATCAATAGGTCTATGGAATGGTGATACTCTGATAATTAAAGATACTCTGATAATTAAAGAATGTTTTTGAGCGGTACCACTGAATCACATCTGAATAAGTTTTATGATTTAATTTCCTATAAATATCTATGCTTCAGTAACAACTGTATTTATTACATTATACAACAGGTATATTCCAAGAAGACTTGCATATGAACTTAACTGAACGGAATCAAATCACATTAAATGTGCTATGAGAGTTCATTATTTAAAACAAAACTAGGTAATCCTAATATATAATATTTATTTGCAAAACAGATAAAATTTATACTGAAACACTTGAACAAACTTTTACAAAGTTTCTAATTCTAATGTTTCCTACAAGATGGCAGGAAAGGTTGAAATTTGTGTGGGAAGAAGTCCTCATGCTAGTATTATACAGTGTGCATTCTGGCATTATTTCGCTCTTTAGAGAGTAGAAAGGTTTGTCCTATAGCACTGCAGCAGTGGAGATGCTCTGAACTATAATGATGGTGGTTTATGTGCCGTGGAATGGGTTCCGACTCACAGTGACCCTGTATAGGGTTTCTGAGGCTGTAAATCTTTATGGGAGCAGAAAGCCTCATTTTCTCCTACCTAACAGTTGGTAGTTTTAAACTGCTGACCTCGTGGCTAAGCAGCCCAGCTTGTAACTGTTACGTTACCAGAGCTCCTGCTAAACTATAATAGATATGAATCACAAAACTCATATGCTATTATTCATAAAGTGATAATATACTATCACTACGTTCTAACTCAGTATTTGCTGGGCACCAACATCTGACTCTGTCAGATGAGAAAATGGGTAGACAAAAATCCACACAAATAACAAAACAAATGAAACCCACTGCTGTCTAGTTGATGCTGATTTAGGGTGACCCTGTGGGGCAAAGCAGAACTGCCCCATGGGGTTTCCACGACCGCAAATCCTTTCAGAAGTAGACTGCCACATCTTTCTCCCATGGAGCAGCTGGTGGGTTGGAACTGTTAACCTTTGGTTAGCAATCAAGTGCTCAAAACTGTACCACCAGGGCTCCTAAATGCCACCCATCAACCCTAAAAATGAAATATGTTTACATACAATCTATCTTAAAAATCAGAACTAAGGTTCAGGTGCGTAAATATCCAAGCTTAAAAAATTGCCTTTTTAGCCTTGTCTTCACTGACATTTCAGTACTTTTCCTAAATTATACAAAATGGCTAAAATGTACTTAGTCCCTGTATGGGTCACATGTCTAGAAATCTGTGTGGTCCAAATGAGTCTGATATATCTCATCTGTCATAGTGTAACACAGACATTTAAAACCTACGGAATGCTCTTAGGTTTCAGTACTTCTTATTTAACTCTCTTCTCTGTTTGGAGTTTAAGTGATAAGATGTGACATCATCAATAGTACGTGAAAGGCATGCAAACATTTCCCACGAGATTCCACTCACGTGCTTCCAAGGGATCCCTTCCCGCTGATACTCCTCTTGTTCTTGCTTCAGGACCAGCTGAATGAACAGCTGCTGCAGTTTCTCATTACAGTAATTGATGCAGAACTGCTCAAAGCTGCAACGAAAGGAGGAAAATAACTTTAAACAAAATACAAAAAATAAGATTTTAAGGATTTTATCTCATTTACCTGTTTTTACTTAAAAGTGTTTTTTTTTAAATTAAGAAATGAGTGAAGGTTTACAGATAAGATTATCAGTTTTGCATTTAAGAAATCCTACACTTAGTTTCATCTTAGCTATTGTATCACTTTACCTGTTGTTGTCAAAGATTTCAAAGCCATAGATATCCAAGACACCGATAACGGTGTTTTTCCCATGGATTGTAGTGTCATAGTTCTTGACCTCGATAACATCATTGAGGCGCGTTACAATCCAACAAAAAAGGCGTTCATATATTGCCTGTGAGGAAAACAACACAGTAAGTCCTTGCCCATTTGAAAACAAGTCCTCGGTTTGGGTTTGTGATGGGTTTTAAATTCCTGTCTACCTTCTCTTTATTGTTGGTTATTGCTAAGTACCGTTGAGTTGGTTCTGACTCACAGAGACCCTGTATAGGGTTTCCAAGGAGCAGTTGGTGGGTTTGAACTGCTAACCTTGTGATTAGCAGTTCAGTGCTTATTCTACAGTGCCACATTATTACCTTACATTGAACAATTACAAACAGATTATATGTTAAAAGAGCTATATGATCTATGCAAAATTGAATTATAAATTGTTTATATATACTATATGTCCCAGGCATGTTTCCATGCAAGATAGATCATTCATTTGGTTAAACTCTCCTATAAGTCACTTCATTACTTTACTGCTAATTTCATCAACTATAAAAATTAAGGGACCAATGAGTCAATGTTAATACTATGCTCCACTAAAACTCTATGAATTCTGAAAATAAAAATAATTGATCTATAATAATGTTAAGTAAATATCTGAGCAAAAAGGTCACAGCTGGAAAATCCTTGAGAATCAAAAACATGTATCTAATGCTCAGGGGTACACGGGTACACGTACCAAGACAGAGGCAAAGGCACCACACGCCAACACACAGTCCCATCCAGATACTTCCACCATCTCTCCTGCTTCTCTTCTGTTATAATGTAGAAGGTCCTTTGCTCCCCATAAACCTATCCCTCCACCACTTGTGGCTTGGGGTTCTCTTTCCTTAGGTCATTTTACCTCCTTCAGTTCCCTTCTTCATCTCCCTTTCTTCTGGAAGGATAAACATGCTCTACATAAGAGCACAGCTTTTGGTATGGATTACATCTCAATGGAAAGAACACAAAAATCCTCACCACTGGACCAATAAACAACATTCTTATCAACGGGAGAAAAGACCGAAGTTGTCAAGGACTTCATTCTTCTTGGATCAACTATCAACACTCATGGAAGCAGCAGTCAAGAAATCAAACTATGTATTTATTGCATTAGGCAAATCTGTAGCAAATCTGCTGCACAAGAATTTTTTCAAGTGTTGAGGAGCAAAGATGTCAGCTTGAGGACTAAGGTGCGCCTGACCCAAGCCATGGTATTTTCAATAACCTAATAGGCATGCGAAAGCTGGACAGTGTAATAAATAAGGAAGACCGTAGAAGAATTGATGCTTTTGAGTTATGGTGTTAGAGGAGAATATTGAAAGTGCCATGGGCTGCCAAAAGAACCAATAGATCCGTTTTGAAAGAAGTGCAGCCAGAGTGTTCCTTGGAGGCCAAGATGGCCAAACTTCGTCTCTTGTACTTTGGACATATTGTCAGGAGAGACCAGTGACTGGAGAAGGATATCATGTTTGGTAAGATAGAGGGTCAGAGAAAAAGAGGAAGACCTCCAATGAGATGGATTGGCCAAGTGTCAGCATCGATGGACTCAAGTGTGGCAACAGTAGTGCAGTTGGCCCAGGATCGGACAGTGTTTCATTCTGCTGTGCATAAGGTCGCTTTGGGTCGGTACCAACTCAATGGCACCTAACAACAACAACATACAATAGGGCACCTTTAGAAAACCCTTCTTCAACATCGCTTTCCAGCTACCCATTTTCTTCCCCTACAGATTATGCGTATCCACACAGGCTCCCTTCTACACCTCCTCTTCACTCTTTAGTCCACTCTAGTCTTGGCTTATATACCATACTCTGCTGAAATGTATAATCAAGGACCCTAAGTCTCTCGTACTTGGCTACTCTGTCCTTATTGTTCTCGGTTGCTCTACATCATCTAACATGCTTCACTACCCTCTTCTTGAAACATTTTCTTCTCTGGGTTTTTGTACTACACTCTCCCAATTTTCCTGGTTGCTCCTTGGTGAGCTTTGGTAGCATCTCCTCCTTTATCTGACCTCTAAATATGGTCTAACATCTTCTTTCTAAGTCATCTCACCCACTATTAAATAACAGTAGTACAGCACCAGGCCCGAATGTACTCTCTAAACCCAGACTTCTCCACTGAGCTCCAGACCCCCATGCCTGACCACCTACGTGAAAATACAGATGTCTCACAGCCATCCCAAACCTATGTCTTGGTAAAAGTCTTGATTTTTCTACTCCTCCAAAACTGTTCCTTTGCTACCTGTAACCATGAATAAACGGCACCAGGAACCCAGGGATTTCTTCATTATTTCTAACGAGTATTTGTTGAGCATTTATTAGACATAATTTGTTGGGGATTCAGGGGTAAACAAATGCAAACACGATCTCAGCTTCCAAAGAAAGCTTACAGCAGGATGAAGGAAACAATTCTTCTCATACACACATACACACACACCTAGGAGAGGAGAGCAGATGAAATTATAAGGGAATTTAGGCTAACCAGTATTCAGGCAGGCCAGGGAAAAGTAATGAGATCAGAAGGATGAGTAAGAGCTAAGTAGGCGAGAGCAGCCAGCAGGGTAATCCAGGCAGAGAAGTAGCACGTACAAAGGTCCTGTGGCTGGAAGGAGAAAGGATAAAGATAACTTGTAGCGTCTAAGACTAATGTGGCTGGAATGAAGGAGGCTAGAATATGATGTGAAATGAGGAGGGAGAGGTAAGTTTGCGACAGACCATGCTAAGAAATTAGCCTTAACTCCTCCATTCGCCCAAACAAGTCCGGTGCATTTTATTTCTCAAATACAGTCTACCTCCTGTCATCCTCTCTTCCCCATCCCTACTGCTACCATCCTAATCCAAGTTGCCACATAAACTCATTCCCTGAGTACTGAAATATCCTTTTAATTAGCCTCTTTGCTTCCACTCTTCCCCGACTCCTCATAGGGTTCTCCTCATTAAGGACCAGAGTAATCTTTTCAAAAATTTCAATGTGACGCCACTGTCCCTACTTAAAATCATCTAATACTGTCGTTGTTGTTGTTGTCAGGTGCCATCGAGTCGGAACCGACTCAGAGCGACCCCATGCACAGCAGAACGAAACAATGTCCGATCCTGGGCCAACGTCACTACCGCTGCCACACTTGATGCCATCAATGATGCCACCTGGCCAATCCATCTAGTTAGGGGTCTTCCTCTTTTTCTCTGACCCTTCACCTTACCTAGCATGACATCCTTCTCCAGCGACTGTTCCCTCCTGACAATATGTCCAAAGTATGAGAGACGAAACTTAGCCATCCTGGCCTGCAATTAAACCCAAATTCTTTCTAAGACTGCAAAGCAAGTCTGAGGTTTATAAGGGTAAAAAATGGAAAAGACAGCAACCGAATCAACCAGCAAAAATATAATGAAATTAAAATGTTAGAACTGAAGGAAAAGGAAAAATCCTAAAAAACAACCACTTGTCACACAGGTAATAGACAAAGAGCTGGTTAAAGTTTATGATACACAAAGAGCTGTAACAAATTGAGGAGCTCTGGTAGCAAAGTGGTTTCGAGTCAGGCTGCTAATCTCACGGTCAGCAGTTTGAAACTACCAGCAGTTCCACAGGACAAAGATGAGGCTTTTCTGCTCCTGAAAAGATTTACAGCCTTGGAAACTCTACGGGTTTGCTATGAGTAGGAAATGACTCCATGCCACATAACCACCACCACCTCCCTAACAAACTGACAAAAAGATGATCCAAAGAAAAAGGGATATAGACCCAAGCAATTCTCAGAAGAATGGCTACAAATCGCTTACAGAAACTCATTAAAAGATGCTTAAACATACCAGTAATGAAAAATTAAAATAGCAGTGAGCTATTACTGCACAGCCAGGCAACCAGTCAATTTATGTTTACAAGCAGTGTACTCTGCCTTAGCAAGCCCACACTTGGGAATCCAGCCAAACGAATCACCAGTGTGTAAGAAGAGCTGGACAAGGATTTGTAGCACTGTTTGTAGTGACCAAAAAAATGGAAACCCATGCACTTATGAGGAGGGTTAAATAAATGATGGTGCCATCACTGCAGGCTGGTAAACAGTCATTAACAAGAATGAATCAGCGCTCAGTCAGTGACTTGAAGTGGATGCCTCAGACGCAGTATTAAGTGAGAAAAACTAAATGGAGAAAAGAGAGCATTTTTGGAAAACAGTAACTAAATTGTCTCTGCGCATATTTATATAGTCTATGAAGGCTACGTTAGGTTGTTGGCATATGCAAGGAAGAGGGGTTCTGAAGCAGAATGCTAATTTGCATGAATTATTGATGTAAATTAACAAAATCCTTAAAAAATGTAAAGCTTGAGGCAATTTTTCCTCCACCCCCCTTGCCATAAGAGACTTGTTTTCTCTCAGCTCTGAAGGATTCCTCAGTGGGAAAGCTTGAAATGGAGCTAATGCTACACCATACTTTTACTATTACTTCTTCACCCCACACCTTTTTAGTCTCCCCTAAGTACCTAGAACTTTCTAGGAGTTACCCAAGAATTTACACTACTGCAGCACAAATTTATGACTGAGTCAGTGTAGATGTTCCGAAGTGAGGGCAAGCCAAAGGCTGTGGCTGTGTGAGAGTACTAAGGCAGCCAGACACTCTGACGATACAGTGCAATGATGCTTTACTTCTCCACTCTGTGATAATATACTTTAAATAACGATAGAACAACTGCTTACCGCAATTCACAGAAAGCACTTGCTGTGCTTGACTGGGTTTTCAGAAAATCATTTCTAAGCAAAGCCATGAAGCCCAGTTCCTGTGAGATACTAGGAAACATGTCAGTAGTTGATCTTGGGGGATGGATCCCGGTTTTGTGGGACCTGGTGGCCATGTGATTTCCAGAGCCCTCTCGCTGGTAGAGAAAGAATGCAAGCTTTGAAACAAGATTAGGGCCAGGAAAGGGGTGCACACAAGCAAGGGCCTGACAACGATTCGCTTCACAGTAAACCTGTTTCTGCTCTTCTCAGGATGCTTTCTGGCAGCGATGTAGGAAGGGTGCTTTACCGAGACTGTGACGGCTAAAGGCATCGTGATGGATTCTGAAGGCCTTAATCTACTTGCAAGGAACCTCTGAAGACACCCTCATGAAATTTCACTAAAATGGCTGAAATCACCACCAGGCCTAAAGGAAGTAGGCTGAAACCCTACCTTAGCAAAGGCATCTCTGCCGTAGCAGGCTTCTTGCTCTGTGTGCTGTTTGTCGATGACATCACGGCCCGTAGCCACAGTCCGGAAAAGAAGGGCTTTCTCAACCATGTCCGCCTTCGTAGAGAGCAATTCGGCTATGACAGACACAACCTTACTGTTTTCAATAAGAGGTGTGTCGCCATCTACTATAAATTTTAAATTCCCCTATATCAAAGGTAGAAAAAGCAAGACACAACATTTCTAATGAGAGACCGAAGGACAAGATCATGGATACACTAGCCAATTTAAAAAGGCAATTTTCAAGTGACTTTGTTTGGAGAATTTATACATAGTTCATATCTCTACACATAAAAACCTGGCACTGCATTCTTTTTTCCCCCTCTTCTCTGTTGTTGTTGTTAAGTGCCGTCGAGTCGGTTCTGACCCATAGTGACCCTGTACAGGGTTTCCGAGGGTGTAAATCTTTACGGGAGTAGAAAGCCTCATCTTTCTTCCACTGAGCGGCTGGTAGTTTCAAACTGCTGACCTTAAGGTTCACAGCCCGATTCGTAGCCACTACGCTACCAGAGCCCTCTTCTCTAGGTATTCTTATCTTTTAATTTTCAGTGTATGTTTTTGACAGACCCAAGTGTTCCATTTTCCATGTACTCAAGTCTCTCTCTTTAGTGTCACACTGTGGGGCAGTGAATTGCTTAGTGCAGCTTTTCTAATGCTGGTTGTTGTGACTCCCACCAAACGACTTTTTCTTGATGGGTCTGCTTGAGAGAAGGTGGGGGAAGATGCTGATAGGATTATAGGACTCAGTTGTGAGTTGCTGTTAACAGGGTGTTAATGAAAACCTGGAACTCTAAGGTGTTGATAACATGAGGCATCTTAGAAGCAGGAGGGGGGAATCTCACTTCCAACAAGGAAGAGCCAAGCTCCCTGCACAGTGGACTTCCTTAGTCCAGAGAAGGGGCAGAGGAGCAGCAGAGGAATGGCAGGAGCAGAACCAACAGACAGAGCCTGAGAGAGCTAGGGGAGCAAGGAAAGCTGAGCGCCTTCAGGCAGGAGGCCTCACTGTGAACTGGAGAGCCTTAAGGCATTCATCAGAGAAGCCAGGTTTGCTGACCCACAGAGCTAGAACCAGGTGCCTTCAGGCTGGGCCTTATGTGGAGTAGAGTGGAGTGCCCTTTGGGCATTTTCCCCCATTGCTAAAGGAACTTTGTAACAGTGCCTGAGCAGGACCCAAGCCACCAAAGCTCTTGTGAGGGGCCCAGGACCTAAGGGGGAATGCTCATGGGAATGGCTGGGAAGACGCTGTCCTGTGGCCTGACCACTTCAGAGTCTGCATTGTAACCTGTTGACTTTCTTACTAAACCCATAATTGCGAGTACTGTCTGTGAGTTGAGTGTGGCCATTGCTGCGGAGTAGAGAGTGCTGTGGAGGGAAGGCTGGAAGCAGAGCTGGCCCCACCTCAGCCTCACAGGAATCAGCCTTGGGCTGATGTGGGTGCTGACTCTCCTTCTCCCCTACCACACAGCAGCTGTGCCTTGTGCACGTACTTAGGTTATTCCCTACTCCAAAGGCTTAAGGCATTGTCAATATTTTCTCCTGTTACTTTCATAGCTTTTTTCTAGCACTGAAAATTTTGATTATTTTGGTATAGGGTATAAAGTAAGGATCTAACCATTTTTCCACATCGTTAGTTCCATTGTTTTGAAGTGTAGCTTACTCTCATGATTTGAAATGTCACCATTATCATATAGTAAATTCTACCAAGGATTTTTGTCTATTTTATCCCACTCAGTCAACAACTTAAGAACCATATAACAAGCATCTAGCACATCAATTGATCTATCAATAAATCTGGTTCTGAATTTGTGCAACACATTTTAAGATCCCATAGGTTTTTACTCTCACTTGAAATCTGGTAGGATCAGTCCCACTCTTCCCTTCTCTTTCCCCTGCCCTACTTACTATTCTATTTGGTCTTCGTGTATGTTTATTGTTCTAGATAGATTCTAGAAACATGAGTTTGTAACCAATTCAAGAAGCTGAGATGGCTTACAACATTAAAGTCTTTCCAATGCGGAAATTATCATTTATGTTGTTGTTGTTAAGTGTCGTCAAGTTGGTTCTGACTCATAGCGATCCTGTATATGGTTTCAGAGGAGCGGCTGGTGAGTCTGAACTACTGACCTTGCGGTTCAAACCAACCTTGTGGTCCAGTGCATTATCCCACAGTGCCACACCAGATCTCTCATCATTATGTTGTTGTGAAGTGCTGTTGAGTCTATTCTGACCCATAGTAACCCTGTATAGGGTTTCTGAGGAGCTGATGGTGACTTTGAACCGTTGACCTTGCCAATCACCGATCATATATTTCTTGATGTTGTTAACTACCGTGGAGTCAGCTCACAGCTGTGTGTGATCCTGCACAGGGTTTCCGAGGCTATAAATCTTTATGGGAGCGGAATGCCTCATCTTTCTCCTGCAGAACCGCTGGTAGTTTTGAACTGCTGACCTTGAGGTTGGCAGCCCAAGTCGTAACCAGTACGCTACCAGAGCTCCTTGCCAATCATGTATAGCACTATATAATTTTTCTCCCTAAAGGTCCCATGTCTTTCTGATTCATTTCAAGTTAAATCTTGCTACAATAAGATGAAAGGGAATTTTTATTGCAGTTTTGAATTCATATTGTTGCTCATTTATTGTAAGCCTTGTTATGTGCCATGGTTGGTTCCAACTACAGGCTCATCATATTATAACAGTTGGAATTGGCTGGATGGCAGTGGGTTTTGTATATAAACGGAGCCCTAGTGGTGCAGCATTTAGCTGTTCACTGAAAGGTTGGCAGGTTCAAACCGCCAGTGGCTGTGTGGGAGGAAGAACTGCTGATCTGCTTCTATAAAGACGACAGCCTAGGAACCCACCGGGCAGTTCTACTCTGACACATGGATCCACTAAACAACAACACATGGTTCTTCACTTCTTTTAAGGTTACTTTAGGGTAGAGGGAAATAACTGGACCATAAGTCTGCCGACTTGGCTGACAGCGTTTTCTCTGTAGTGAGCTGGCTGGGCCTTTGAGCCAACTATGCCATCTCTAATCTAGGCCTCACTTCCCCACCTGTAAAATGAGAGGGTTAAGATTCCAGCTCTAATGGTCTAATAATCCTACAAGGATCTTCAAAAAGTCTGTGGAAAAACTCCATTATCTTTTAATTCCATTTTTCCATGAACGTTTAAGCCCCCTCTTAGGTTTCAAATGCCACTATAAATTGATTTTGTGCAAAAGGTTTCAGTTCATACCTTTGGTCGTTCAGAAACCTCTGCTGAATTATTCGGACCTTGAAATTAAACCAATTAAAGTTTGATTATATCAGTGAGATAAACTAAAGCCATAGTCTCAAACTGATTGTGGCTTAGAAAATCCCTTTTGATACTATAAAATGATGGCGAGAACCACAAATAAATATGAATTTCTTCAGAGTATGAGAGGAATTTTCCTTAAATAAATTACTTTTCAAATCTACAGGAAAAGAAGTAAAATCTTCGGAAAGAGCATTGTGTTTCCATATGGAGGCAATATATTCTGAAAGGCGTTCCTACTTACCAAGTGAAGAATAGTGGCCAAAATTTTATATACGGTTTGAATCTCCTCGGATTTGAAGCCAATTACTTTCATGGCATCAGCTACTACTTTGAATTCGGCAGCATCGTTGATAGAAGACTAGGGAGGAAAATGGAAAACTAAAGTCACAACCATTTCAGATAAGGATCAACTCCAACGACTGTCATACTAAATTCAAGTTTAGCCAAGGTCTTGATGGCTTCATAGTAAATCAGTTGAGGGGTGTCCAAGAAAAAAACAACACCATGACTTTGGAGATGAGAACACGGTGGACCTGCTGTGGAAGGTACCTGGTGAGCTTGTGTTCAGGAGTCTCTCCTGTTCAGGAGACCACTAGGCAAGCTCCTCTACTCATCAGCACCAAGACTGTGGGCAAGATACTTAATCTGGGTGAGCCTCAACTTCCTCATGGGTAAAATGGGAGTGGTGTTGTTAAATGCCATTGAGTGGGTTCCAACTATAGGATTTCTGTATAGGATTCTGTATAGGACTTCCAAGGAACAGTTTGAACATCCTTCAGGACTGGCGGTGGATCTTGACTGGTGTAAATTAATCTTGGTGATCTTATTCTCTACCAAGTGGCTGGTTTAGTCATGGGCAACAGATACCAGAGGGTGGACAATAAAGCATGAGGGAAAGACTTCTGAGGGGACTTGCAGAGAGTTTCCCTATCTCTTAAAGGAACACAGTCAGGAATAGGCCCTCTGCGTATGATTCCTGGAAATGCTGCTGCCATCTTGGAACCATGAGGAAAACCAGCTGAAGAGAACAAGTCAATCACCAAGAATGGCAAAGTTGTAAGGGGGTGAGGGGGTGGGAGGAGGGGGAAACGCACACACACACACACAACACCTGGGTTCCTCACATGACACTGAATTAATCAAGTCTGGAACTGCTCCCATCTCAGAGTGTCTTGTTATGTCAGATACTTAAGTTCCTAAGTATTTTGAGAATTTTAATTGGTCTTGTCTGACTTGTAGTCAAAATAATCTTAATCATACAAGACTCTTACATTTTAAGACTTGTAAGTAGACACAGTATATAGAGTGTAATACTTTATAGTCATTAAAAAGAATTCTATTAATCTGCATTAGCTTATAGTAAGATGCTAATGAATGCGCTGTAGTAGAACCAGGTTTATGAATCAGCATCTATTCTATGACTACACACACACACATGTATGTATGTATATGTATTTTGTTGTTAAGTGCCATCAAGTCAATCCTGACTCATAGTGGCCCTGTATAGGGTTTCCAAGGAGCAGCTGATGGGTTTGAACCATTGACCTTGTGGTTTGCAGTCCAGTGCTGATCCTACAGGACCACACCAGGAGTCATATATATAAACATGCTCATATATGTGCATATATAGGAAGTGTGGTGGCACCATAGGGTAAGCACTGAACTGTGAACCCTAGGGTCAGAAGTTTGAGCCCATTAGCCATTCCACAAAAGACAGATGAGACTTTCTGCTCCCACAAAAAGATTTAAAAGCCTCAGAAACACTATACAGGGTCGCTAAGAATACTGACTCTGTGGTACTTAACAACAACGTATATGCCCTTTAGGGAGCAGCTGATGGACTCGAACCTCCCACCTGTGATTAGCAGTCCAGTGCTTATCCTACAGAGTAACAGCGCTCTTATAGTCAACAAGTTCATGGAAATATGGAACTTAAACATTATTTTTCCATGAACTTTTTGAAGTGCCCCCCCAGCCCCATATATATATATATATA